ATTGGCTATGACCTCCTAGGCTATATAGATGGCTCCAAGCCATGTCCCCCAGCCACTCTCACACAAAATGAAACAACCAGCACCAACCCAGCTCACACCCTCTAGATCCAACAAGACCAATTAATCCTGAATGCAATCATTGGCTCCCTCTCCCACACCATCATCCCCTTTATTGCACGAGCCAAGACCGCCCGCGAAGCATGGATTATCCTGGCCACCACCTACGCCCAACCTTCTCGTGGCCGCATTAAACAAGTCAAAAGCCAACTCAAGATGATCACCAAAGCTCTGATAGTGTGACAACGTTCCTTCAATCCATGAAGGCAAAGGCTGATGAGCTTGCTCTTCTTGGAGCACCCCTAGATGCAGAAGATCTCACCGACAAGATACTTGATGGCCTTGGCAAATGAATATAGAGAACTCACACGTGTTGTCCAAGCCAGAAAAAAGGCTATAACCTTTAAGGAACTGCATGAAAAGTTGCTCAATTTTGAAGCTTCAGTGCTCACCACTAAACCAGATCCCCTTCACTTTCCTGCCACTGCTAATCCCATGAGCAAAAATCTAGTGCCTTGGCGCTCACCTGCACCTTCAAGGACCACCAATCATCCATGGCGCCTCTCCAACAACCACCAAAACGAGTATCCTACTCCACCAACCAGCGACCAACCAACACCTCAAGGTAATCGCCCATCTCGACCATACTTGGGTTTTTGCCAGATTTGCAGGGTACAAGGACATACAGCAAAACAGTGTCCCTTGTTTCAGTTAGTCGTAGTTAACACATCCACCAGTCATACAGCAAGTCTTTCTCCTGCTTTGCCCAATCACTCTGCTACTCCACGGCAACCAAGGGCTCAATATGCTTCCAATACACCTGGTACTACATCTTGGCTCCTGGATAGTGGCAACTCTCACCATGTTACAATTGATCTAAACAATCTCTCCATGCATGCTCCATACAATGGCTCGGATGACATTATGATCGGTGATGGCTCGGGTCTCTCCATTACTCATACCGGTTCTACCTTTCTCTCCACAACTTATAACATTTTTCAATTGGACAATGTCCTTTGGGAATGCTATGAAAAAGAATCTCATTTCAATTTCTCAATTTTGTACCTCTAATAATGTTTCCATTAAATTCTTACCAACTGCTTTTCTTGTAAAGGACATTCACACTGGGGCAACACTTCTGAAGGGCCAAACTAAGGATGGCATTTATGAGTGGCCGGTATCTCCACCCTTGCTTGCATTTTCCAGCATCAAAACAATCTTATCCGAGTGGCATCAAAGATTAGGACACCCAGCTTTTCACATTCTAAAACAGATTATTTCCCAAAATAAACTCGATTTCTCTTCTTCATCCAATAACTTTTCACGTAATGCTTGTCTAACTAATAAAAGCCACAAATTATCATTCTCTCAATCTACAATTGTCTCTTCTCAACCCCTTGAAACAATCTTTTCTGATGTTTTGACTTCTCCAATTATATCAACAAATGGATTTAAATATTATGTAATTTTTGTGGATCATTTCACCAGATATATTTGGTTCTATCCTCTCAAACAAAAGTCCGAAGTCAAAGATGTTTTTATCAGATTTAAAGCCATTGTTGAAAAACATTTTGATAAAACCATCAAAAAACTTTACTCAGACAATGGTGGTAAATATATTTCACTTGCCCATTTTCTTTCAACAAATGGTATTTCTCATCTTACTACACCACCTCATACCCCTGAACACAATGGCTTTTCTGAACGTAGACATCTTCATATTGTAGAAACTGGATTAGCATTACTATCTCATGCCTCTCTTCCTTTAAGTTATTGGCCTTATGCCTTAGCCACAGCAGTTTATTTAATAAATCGTATGCCCACACCCACCCTAAATCTTTCCTCTCCTTATGAAAAAATTTTTACAACAGCCCCTAATTACTCAAAACTCAAAATTTTTGGATGTTTATGCTATCCCTGGCTTAAACCGTATGCATCCAACAAACTAGACACTCGATCCAAACCATGTGTATTCCTTGGATACTCTTTAACTCAGAGTGCCTACTACTGCCTTGATCCATCTACTTCCAAAATATATGTCTCTAGGCATGTTAAATTTGTTGAGTCTGTTTTTCCCTTCAGTCATCTCTCTGCTTCATCCTCCTGTCCACCACCTCTTCGAATTCCCACCTTGCCTTTGGTACCACCACTCAATTCGTCATTTGCAGTGGAAGCTCAACAGCAATTCCCCAGTGCAACTTCACTACCACCAGACCTGCCCGCCACATCAGTTCCACCACCAGCACGTGCACCTTCAAATACCAACACTCCCCAACAACCATCACCACATATAAACCCACCCGAGCCTCAGCCACAACCCACCCACACCATGATTACTAGAGCCAAAAACAATATTCGCAAACCCCTTACCAAATTGAATCTTCACACCCAATTAACCAAAGGTGATGACCATGAACCCACCAACTTGACCCAAGCTCTCAAAGATCATAAATGGTGTCGAGCCATGTCTGAAGAATATGACGCCTTAGTAAAGAATGGCACCTGGACTTTAGTCCCACTGGATAGAAGTCAAAATCTGGTTGGATGTAAGTGGATTTTTAGAACTAAACGCAAATTTGATGGTTCTGTTGACAGGTTCAAGGCTCGATTGGTTGCAAAAGGCTTCCACCAATGTCCTGGAATAGATTACCAAGACACTTTCAGTCTCGTTGTGAAACTGACTAGTGTCCGAATTGTTCTCAGTATAGCAGTCAGCCGTGGTTGGTCCTTACGACAACTCAATGTAAACAATGCCTTTCTTCAAGGACATCTATCAAAAAATGTATACATGTCACAGCCACCAGGATTTGTTGATAATGACAACCCCTCATATGTCTGCAAACTCAACAAGGCAATATATGACCTAAAACAAGCCCCTCGAGCATGCTACCATGAGCTCAGAACATTCCTCCTACAGTTTGGCTTTCAAAATTCATATGCTGATACATCCCTCTTTGTCTTTCATGCTAATGGTCACACTATGTATCTCCTTGTTTATGTTGATGATTTAATTCTCACAGGAGACAATACTACCGAAGTTAATCACTTCATTGCCATTCTTGCTCAGCGATTTTCCATCAAAGACCTTGGCTTACTGACTTAATTTCTGGGCGTAGAAGTTGTACCAAACAAACATGGCTTGTTACTTTCACAAAGGTGATATATTATGGATCTCCTCACTCAAACCAAGATGCAAGACGCCAAGACTGTTCTTACTCCCATACCAACCAGTTCAACTCTCATGTTAACCTCAGGCTCTCCTCTGACTGAACCAACTGAATATCACCAAGTGGTTGGAAGTCTCCAATATTTGCTAATAACAAGACCAGACATCGCTTTTACTATCAACAAACTCTCCCAATATATGCACTGCCCAACAACTGAACATTGGTCCTTTGTCAAACGGTTACTGCGTTATCTTGTTGGCACCGTTGATGATGGTCTACAACTCTACAATGACTCTACTCTCAGTCTGCATGCCTTCTCTGACACTTCTCTTAGTTTATATGCCTTTTCTGATGCTGATTGGGCAGGGGACAATGACACTTTTTGCTCAACAAGTGCTTATGTTGTATACCTTGGAAAAAATCCTGTCTCCTGGAGTTCTAAAAAGCAACAGACTGTTGCTAGATCCTCTACTAAAGCAGAGTATCGATCCGTTGCTAATACAGCTACTAAACTTAATTTCATTTGTTATCTCTTGACTGATCTTGGAATTACGCCTCCCTACTGCCTTGTCATTTACTGTGATAATATTGGAACAACACAGCTCTGCTCCAATCCAATTTTTCATTCCCGAATAAAGCATGTTGCAATAGATTTTCATTTTACCCAGGATCAAGTTCAAAATGGTGCTCTCCGAGTAGCTCATGTTTCTTCTGAAGATCAGCTTGCTGATGCTCTTACCAAGCCACTTCCAAGGCAACGCTTTCTCCAACTTAAACACAAGATTGGACTACTCTCCTGAGCTCCATCTTGAGGGGGCATAATAGAGATAATCTCAACTGATAGACTTAGTCTTCCATATCAGTTTGTATTATTCAATGTATTTAGTTGTATTTAGCTGTCACCCATAGATATAGGATTCAGTTTCTATCCTTCCTAGTTTCTAGGATCTTCAAACTATCTTCTGATGTATTTATATACGATTAATTTATCAATACAAGTGTGTTCAGTTTTGCAACTCTTTCAGGCTCAACATCAATAGAGGGCTCGTGGTGGAAGTAACCAAAAAGAAGACAACAATCCATAGTCGACCCATTTCTAAGTAAACTTTGTACTCGTTTATTATCCAATTGCAATCAAAACTATTTATGTAATTTCCCATTTTGTAGTATTTTCGAAATACCACCAGCAAGTGTTAAGTGGGACTAAAATTAAAAGTAAAAAAAAAAAAGGCACACCCTAAATTTTTTCAAATTATCATCAAATCCTCCAAACATTTTACCTATTTCAACATCTCTAGAGTTAACGATTTCTTATACATTTCTTAATTTTTTTTCAATGTGATGAAAAGATTAATTTGTTGAACGAGTGAAATGAAATAGAGTGGTGATATCTCAGAAGAGGTCAAATGGATTTGAGCCGCAGGCATGCGAGGCACTTTTCTAGGGGCCCATTTGGGGGAAGGCCCTAGTAAAATGTTAATAATGTATTGTATAATTTTAATAAAAAGTTATAATATTTAGTTATTATTTAAATATATTTTCTTATTAATAATTTCTTATGGGCAATGAATCCTATGAAATATTAAATGATATTATTTATTTTACATAATATTATAGAAAATTGAATGATATAATTTATATAAAATAGAATGGCTTTTGAATGTGGATGATATCCGAGATTGTCTATTAATAATAATAATATTACATATTATCTTCAAAGATAATTGGATGACTAGGCAAATAGAATTGAAACAAGAAATTGAAACAACATAGTTTAAGTCCAATCCAAATCCCTTAAATTAAAAATGCAAAAAGCAAGCCGCCAACAACTACAGCCAAAACGTAGCGTTCAATGCTTGAGGTTGAGGCTCCACTGTTAGTGTTTCCTGAGGAAGGGCTACCAGCACCTCCATTACCAGGCACGGGTGCTTCACTTGGACTTGGACTTGGACTTGGAACTGGAACTCCCACAGCTGTAAAAACAGTAACACGCGATTTGGTGAGAATCTTTAAAAGGCATTAAATGAGACAGAGTGGACTTAGGCTCCGTTTGGTTGTTGCATTTAATTCTCTTCTCTTACATTTATATTTTATTATTTGGTTGTACTAATTTATTCATTGGCTCTCAACCCAAACCCAAATTTTATTAACAACATTGGCTTTCATAAATAGTATAAAATTTTTATGTTCTTTTTTAAGATATGCATTTCTATATTCTAAATTATTCACTTATTTTATGTAATAATATCATACATATAAACCAATTTATCTGATATATATGATTAAAGAGTTACTAAAATTAAAATTCATTTTTATTAAAATAGAATTGATCTTACAAATATATTGCTAAATTTAGTTAAATATGGATGAGTTAAAGCCAAGTACCTGAGCACAAAGAAACGGGAGGAGTAGCAACTTTACAGACGGAAGGCAACTTAAGAGCCCTATTGAGATCAATATTCAGTCCAAAACTAGAACTCTGGCCAAGAAGATCACACAAACAAATGGGGTTGCTCTCCACCAGCCCCGCCAGCTCAGGGCAGCACGGCTTGTCCGGCACCGTCACATTGCTTCCGGCTGTCACATACGACAAGCAATCTGACATGTTAAGAAGTTTATTTATACAGTCATTTGAGGCTGATGGCCCCATAGATGGCCCCATAGGGGTAGCTGATGGTCCAAAGGCGGCGGAGGGCTGAGGAGCCAGTGTTTGACCTGAAACTGAAACCAACATGAGCAACGCCATCAACAAGCTTAAACATGATCTCATGGTGCCCATTATTGTGAAGAAGAAGAAGTTTGTGAAGAGTAATAGATGGATGGATAGGAGTTATATGGTGGCGGTGTGGAGTGGGAAAAGGAACTTCTGCCAGCCAAGATTATTAAATAAGTGTAACTACCACCTAATTTTGCTTCCACCGTCTGGGCTACCTCTTAATAAAAGGTTGGGTTGAAGTATTTGATTTCCTCTTTCCATACTTCTGCGTATTGGCTTCTTTTAATATTAAGGTCAAACCATCAAGGATACTCCATTTATATATTTTTTTTAAATAGTCATAAAATCACATATCTTAAGTTTTAGTAAAAATAATAATTAATAACCACCATTAGGTCACCCAACAGTCAACTAAAATTTGTAGGTGTATTAGTCAAAAGGTTTTGAGTTCGATGTACTTTGATTTCTAATAGGGGTGGTTATTGAGGAGATTTACCCAGTTGTCCACTTCAAAGCCTCGTAGGATTAGTTGAGATACACGTAAACTAGTTCGAATGTCCTTGGTCACCAAAAAAAAATTAATAGTTGGCATTGATTTGAATATAAAATTTAAATTCAAGGTTATGTGAAGATTAAAGGTCAAATATTAATACTAATACTTAGCGCTCGCATATAATATGTATACAATGAAAACATTGTTCTGATGCAACATGCCCTCTTAGCTAGACTGCGAAAAGAGTTGGACACTTTGCGTATTCCTGAAATTACAACTATGGAATGGTTAATTCATCAAGAAAACTCCATATGTTATAAAAAAAGGTCACATTGAACACATTGAATTTTAAAATATTAATCACACCCCTCGTTGAACCAACCATCTCATACTTAAGTTATTGAGTAAAGGTCAAACATCACATGTAACGTAGATCTGATAATGTAACAGGGTAAAGGTTGGGAACCCTCTTAAAAATGCTTCAATGGAGGTTCAAATGCTTTCACCAATGGATGCAAAATAAGGGGGAATTTTATTTCACAATTGAAGAGATCACTTCATTCTACGCCCTCTTTCCCTTTTCTTAGAAACCTAATTGCATTTTATAATCTAATTGATGATTAAACCATGTGTCCAATGATCTTATGGTTTTTAGGCAATTTCACCGATTCTCTAGGAGTCTTAATTAATTTATTCACTCCTAACAATATTGATGCAATTGTCCTTCAATCAAAATAGGAATAGTTTGATTGAAGAAATTCAAGATTTATAAACTGAAGTACGCATGCATTTGTTAGCTATGTGAGATGTGACATAAATAAATAAAACTAATATTTAAACTAAAAACAATTAATAAGTATGTTTAAACAATAAAAATCAAATTAAAAAAATATCTAAAAGAAAAGTTTTTTTTCTTTTTTTTAAAGAAAGTTATACCATAAAAATAAAATATTTCTTATTATATTTATAAACTATATGCAATTAGAGTAGAAGCAAATCAAGTAATAGTATACAACCTGGCAAGACAACCCCCAACAAGAAAAATATATTTATGTCACAAGAAAGTGGGAATGAGAAGACGTTCAGTCATTCTTGCATTGTTGGTTAAAATCATAAAGACTTTTAAATGGTATAAATATTTAATATGGTGGGATGGAAACAACATGATAATGATGTCGAAAGCTGCACATGAATTTACAAACCATCACGCAAGAATTTTGTCATTTAGCTTTTGCTGGTGGTTGGATTTAACATATATACGGGAAGTTGGAAGTTGAAAGCAAAAAGCATTTATGATACATACTCATTTTTTAACTCCACCAAATTATAATTTAAACTAGACATGGTCCACGCGATACACAAATATGTTTATTTAATATTTTTTAAATAGATTATAAATAAATTTATTCTAACAAAATAAATAAATTAGATTAAAACATAATAATTATTAAATTATACAAATTTTAAAGTAAATATAAACTATATATAAAAGTTTTAAACTCTTATCATGTTGATTAAGACTTATGCGGAATTAAGATTACTTGTTTACGTTATGCTTAATGAGTTGCTAAACTAACGATTAAACATATAAACCATTCACGACATAAAATAAAGCAAACAACTCAATTTTACATGGTTCGGCAACATACCTACATCCATGGGACCAAGTCCAGAAGAAGCTAATCCACTATGAAATAATTATGTGTTCAATTACAAAGACAATAATAAGTATCAATTGTAAAAACTCCCTATTTGGACAACACTTCAATCTTCGCTCTTTGTTGAACCTCAAATCTTCATAGTCTAATTTCTCCTCCACGGGACCACCAGGTCGCACTTGAGCTCCTCTCAAGTTTCAACAATGACGAATTACTTCGGCAGCAGCAATTCGAACACATCCACACCTCAACACGGAACAACGTTCCAGAATTAACTCATGCAGTAAGAGATAAAACACGATAATTCAAAGCCTACCAAAGCATATCGGAAACCTACAAAGACTAAACAACCTCAAAGAAAATATTCAGAGAATAATGGAGGTAAATAATATGGCTTCCTTAAAATAAGTCACAATAATAAAATGATTATTTATACTTTAGTGACTTTGAAAGGATAAACAAGAAACCAAACCTGTTTTGGAAAGGATTCTTGAGATCCTAGACTCCTTTATAAGAAAGAATTCTTTAATCTATAATCTCCTTATAAGAAAAGAATTCTTAAGATCATAATCTTCTTTTAGGAAAAGAATTCTTGAAATCATAATTAAATAAAAAATTTTCCAACTCACATAATATATAATGTCCACAAAAAATCTTTCCACAACTGGAAATATAATCACATTTAATTATGGTAGGTGCGATATGCATGAATATTAAAATAAAATCTACCAGACGTGTTGTAATCACTGCGATTTAGTTTTGAACACCTTTAAAGTGAAACTAAATAGATTTTGCACCAATCTGCATGAATAAGTTGACAAAACCAAAATACTTACAATATATATAGACAAACTTGTGTTAAGATAAAATTAATAATTGTACCTGTATAATTATTAATATCAATTATAGGTAGATGTCATTAAATCATTCATCCAACTTGAGAAGATCTCCTGAATATTATATGGTCTAATTATATTTTCGGGATCATCAACTTGTACAACTGATATTATTTTTGCAGACATATTTTTGATATTCGATGTCAGTATTTTGTAGTGAATCGAGCATGATATTTAAGATCATCTGAATATTATCAAGATCAACTATTTAAACTTAAAATTTATACTGACCTTCCGTAATTTCTGTAACTTATATTCATTTTCAAGTTGCATTGATATGTTTATTATATATATATTTTTTTTACATTATTATTGGTTTTTTTGTCTTTTAAATATATATTTTCTATATTAAAGTTCATTTTATATTGAATTGATAATTAAAAATCAATAAATAAAATATCCACAAATTGAACTCAAAGTCTATATCATCATGGTTCTTCTCAAATATGTCACTATTTGAAATTTTCAACCAAAGCTCAAAACTTTGTCAAAAAAAAATAAAATAATAAAAATAAAAATAAAAATAAAAATAAAAATAAAAATTGCAGGATAACTGTAACGCCCCACTTGAGGTACGTTGCTAATGTTTCTTTCTTCGCTCTTAATTGAGTCGGTTTTTGTGAATAGTGGTTGGTTGGTCTTAGGTTGTATTGATATGTTGAGCTTTTGCCTTGGATTTAGTCAAAGTTAGAAGGTTTTTGATGTTACAGGGCTCGTCGGGGCGAAGGATACTCGTCGCCGCGGCGAAGAGGTGTTGAAGCCATGGGGGAAGCTGCTGGACATTTTCGCTGCGGCGAAGGAAGCTTCTTCGCCGCGGCGACGTGCCGGTTGAAAAGTTTATTAAGTTTTAGATATTTTTTCCCTTGGGTACTATTTGACCATTTTACCTCTAATTAGCAGGAAAAGTGGGGAGTAAAATGTAAGAAAATTTCATGGAGAATATGTTAGTATGGGGGTGTGTTTGTAAGGAATCAAAGGATATGGATGGAATTTCTAAGAAAGAGCAAGGGCAAAATGGGAAGAATGAGTTGTTAAGAGATATTTAAGGGGGTTTAGTCTTTGAGAACTCTTCATTTTCCCATTCCACCGCCTCCTTCATTTTCCAAATTCTCTCAAATTCCTTCAATCTTCCAAGGATTTCCAAGAGCCTTTTTGAGTAACTTTTAGTAGGGTTTTAATCTAAAGCATCCTAAGGTAAGGATTCTTGCTTTAGATGAGAGTTTTATTATGTTTTGATTAGAGTCTCATGTTGTGGTTGTTGGTTAAGTTGTAGAGAAAAGGCAAGCTCCCAAAGGAAAGAAGAAGTGTTAAAGAAGCTATTTCCCCATAAGGTAAGTAAATTCAACCTAAGTTGAGATTTAAGAACTCTTTTGAGTAGAGTTATATATATATGTGTGTATTCATTAAATTTGTTGAATGAGATGAATGAGATTAGTATTTATGAATGAGTAACACACATAAATTGAGTTATGAGAAGTGTTTTATTTGCTTGGTGTTGGGTTGAGTTTGATTGAAGTTGGAGGAAGTTTTGAGCAAGCTTATGGAAGTGTTTTTCTTTTGATAGGAAATTTAGAGTTTATGAGGGAGTTTTCTCCCATTTGGTTGATTAAAGAAAAGAGAAAAGTTAGAGTTAGAGTAGAGTTTTTATGTACATGAGTTGTATGATGAAATACTCAAGAGAAGCATAAGTAAGAGTAGAAAGCCTTAATTGTTGCTACATGTCATAGTTGCTTTTCATAAATGCATTAATGAGTATGAGTCATTTATGTGCATTAACTATGCTTTATTTATGCACTAGAAAAGAGAGTAAAGAGAAAGAGAGAATGAGCACTATAGAGTAAAAGCTAGAGTAGTGCTAAATAAGAGAATAGAGTAGGTTGTGCAATAGGGAACCTGTGAGTACGAGTAAAGTATTCCCGCATGTACGCCGCATAGAGAGAGCGGCAAGAGTATCAGAGAGAGAAGTGGTGTAGCCCGTAGAGTACATGCGGATGAGGGCTATACCCGAGTTTGCCCGAGAGATTCTATGCACTCACATGGCCAAAGGTTCTGAATCCATGCATAACCAAGTCCGATAGGCTAGAATGAGTAGAAGTCACAGGGAGTGGGAGCGAGTCCCAGCCGTGCCTCCGGTCAAATGAGGCCGTGACTTACTAGAA